GTGTGTAGATTTGGGGGAGGGCTAAAAGTGGCATCTTTAAAAAGTTAGGTATGCATTGGTTTGGATCCCCGCACCTAAAACGCGAGTGGGGCGCATCTCTAGACGCGCGAGAACTTACGAGAGAAAAGAAAGTTGATATTGGGGATAATCTCTTACCCTGGCCTAATGACATTGTTAGAATAGGGAGGCCCCTTCCCCCCCCCCCGACAAAGTTGTAAGCGGGCAATGACAACTTCATTACGATAAACAACAGTAAATTGTGGGGAAGGGCACGAACTGATAAATTTCTCTGACAGATATTGCAAAAGTGGAAAGGTGTGCCAAGACGTTTGACGGAGATTGTAGCTCCCACCTCGCACCAGCACCTCCCTCCCCCCCACCACCCCTTCCTACCCCCAACCCTATCTCCATACGGTTTTGGAACGATTGAATTGCAGATTCTTGAGGTCAGAACCGTGGTCGTTTAGAAAGTATTTAGAAGCTATTTTTGATACTAACAATGAATCGCAATGTGGCCGCAATGTGGCCGAAGAGCCAGTGGGCAGGCTCATTTAAACTCTCAAATTCGATGTATGCATGTATGCAGTGGCTGAAAAAAACAGTTGGCAGTGATGGTCATCACTCATCCAGATACTCAGCCCAAGGGTATGTTCGAAAACCGATATTTGGAATGTAGCATTAAAAGGTGATAAAGGTTTCAGTGTCTCTTTTATGAAAGCTCTTTTCATCGCTGATGTTTGCGGACGTAGAGGCAGATTATTCAAACCTCTGAACTATATGGTCGAAAATGTGAACTTACAGAAAACGTCGCTGGAAAGCTTTCTATCAAATCTGAGATGTTAACTCACGCTAACCCCGCTCTCTCAACTGATTTTTCCAAAACAGGAGCTCGAAGGGTCTCGAAGCTTTTATAATTTCATTGCTTCGTGGGCAGCAATTAAGAATGATCCACCGTACATAAGCTTTTCGCGTCACTATTCTGCACACTGCCGCTTTAAAAGAGCCTAATTTCGAAGAGTTGCTTTGAAAATTTGTCCATAGGTTGGAAATGCAGTATGTTATGCAGTCTGATTGTATGAAATTTTTTACAAGACATCAGGACCGGGTTTCAGTAAACACTATCCTCTTCCATTTGTTTATGCCGTTGGTGCACGCGCACGCAATCGAGCTTACAGCTAAAATAAATCACCTACGGTTGGAATTAATGTTATGAAATATAGTTACAAGCATTATGTCTTACCGTATTGGAAGTTTCTCGCCCGTTGAGCTTTAATTTCTTTTGAAATCGTTCAATTCCGTCAGTAAGCTTTAAAGCTGTGCCGCAGGTCAGGTCTC